TATCAGATCACTTACTCTACCTTACCTATATTGGTGGAGTAGATAGTGGTGTTACTATACGTGTAATATCAGATATATAACTCTACCTTACCTATGTTGGTGGAGTAGGTAGTGGTGATACTGTACGTGTAATATCAGATATACTACTCTACCTTACCTATATTGGTGGAGTAGATAGTGGTGTTACTGTACGTGTAATATCAGATCTCTTACTCTACCTGACCTATATTGGTGGAGTAGGTAGTGGTGTTACTGTACGTGCAATATCAGATCTATTTCTCTACCTTACCGATATTGGTGGAGTAGGTAGTGGTGTTACTGTACGTGTAATATCAGATATCTTACTCCACCTTACCTATATTGGTGGAGTAGGTAGAAGTGTTACTGTACGTGTAATATCAGATCTATTTCTCTACCTTACCGATATTGGTGGAGTAGGTAGTGGTGTTACTGTACGTGTAATATCAGATATCTTACTCCACCTTACCTATATTGGTGGAGTAGGTAGAAGTGTTACTGTACGTGTAATATCAGATCTATTTCTCTACCTTACCGATATTGGTGGAGTAGGTAGTGGTGATACTGTACGTGTAATATCAGATCTATTTCTCTAGCTTACCGATATTGGTGGAGTAGGTAGTGGCGTTACTGTACGTGTAATATCATATATATTGCTCTACCTTACCTATATTGGTGGAGAAGGCAGAAGTGTTACTGTACGTGTAATATCAGATATATAACTCTACCTTACCTATATTGGTGGAGTAGGTAGTGGCGTTACTGTACGTGTAATATCAGATATATAACTCTACCTTACCTACATTGGTAGAGTAGGTAGTAGTGTTACTGTACGTGTAATAATATCCTAGTGACAGATAAAATGTCAAACTATTCTCATTGATCATTATATATTTGAAATGGCTTAGAAGACTGATTTGTCTTTTTTCATTCAGGGTACCCAGCAGTGTGTATTGACGACACTACGACGCAATCAGTGTCAGAAAGGACACCTACAACTTCGTTAACTGTGCCAGGAGACACCACTTCGAGCACAGCGCCCCCTATGTGTCCATGTCTGTGTAATGTCTCTTCATCAAACAGTAAAAACTTGACTCATGAAGCGCTGGTGGAACTGGTGAAAGAGTTAGCAAAGGAACTTACAGTGAACAAGAAAGAAACCAGTATTTCCAAGAGGAAACTCATCAGTGTTGGTGACGAGAGACAATCTGCCGAAACGATCGGCTTTATAGGTGTTCTGGCTCTGTGTGTTCCGGTTCTACTGATTGTCTCGTTCGACTTGATCAACTTATGGTCGTTCAGGAAACAGAACAATTAACAGAAAAGCGCCCGAAAAGCATAGATGGTCATATTATTTTAGACATAAATCGGCAGACGAATTTCTACCTACGAAGTGTGCACATGTTTCCAACGTCAGCAGAATATGTTGGCTCAGAAATGATTTGCTTAGTTTTAATTATCTTTGTCGTGTTATGTTCGATGATGGTTTCCACTCGACACAGTATGATGTTCTACTTTTAAATATGGTTTTGCTGATGGATACATATTGTAAGCAAAACTTGAAATAAAACAACCACATTATTATGAGACTTTCTGTGTATTACAACATTAAATGTTGTGTATCCCCTTATACTTCATCGTGCATATTTTAATGATGGCTATCTATAATGATCTTGTGATTGTGATGCTTATCTTTATTTGAATAAATACGAATTCAATTCACATGCGTTTAATATTGATAAATCAATACAAATCAGGAAGCTGCACAGACAAATAGCACATAGGAAACCTACGTAAAGGTAAACTCCCTATTAGATAATGGCAATGTCATTTGTTATATTAAAGTCGGTTCTTCAGCGCCAAACGTGTTGTGTTGTGTGGCGGCTACGTCGTAACGACCAAATGTGTATGATCATTATCCTTACATCCACACGCAGATTGCTTCAATGTTACTGATATTGACAAATAGTCAAAGAACACTGTTGGACAAAAAGGCTTATCATTATTATTTCAAACGTAATCAAGCAGAAATTACTTTCTATTGGGTATTTAGCACCATCCAATTAAATTGCTTTCTTAAGCTCCTGAGGTAACAAGGCTTCAAATATGTCTTTGTTTTATATGCCAACATCCTCTAAAATTGCTTTTTAGAGTCAATATAGTAATAACGACTTTTATTACCTTTGTTTTGGCCTGAGAAATATCGAATTCTAGCAACTTTATAAAAATGATCTCTTTCTCATTTTGACACCATATTTAGCCTACTGGATATCATCATCTACATACAGGGGTTACGCTCACGTACGCTCTCTGCACCCCTGAAATCATCGTCGGATAATCACGGTTGATTTCGCTTCGGTACTCACCGAAGCGAAATCAACCGTAGATATCCGACGATGCCCTGGAATATGTCATAGCAAACTTGAAGGCACAAAGATAGCTGTTTGATTGGTCCCAGGTAACAAATCCTGGCCAATCGCTAGGCTGATACCTGTCCTTTGAAGATTACAAAGCGGCGACACCCGACTTCAAAGTAAGTCATTTTTTACCGTTACGCGACCGCAACATTCTGTTGATGTACATAAAAGGATCAAACTAGTCTTGTTGTATCATCCACAAGGTGGTGTACACTGAGCCTTCGATTTTGCTATGACATATTCCAGGGGTGTAGAGTGCGTAAGTGAGCGGAACCCCTGAACGCCGAGGATGACTGGAAATAGAAATTGGTGATATCTGTCCTAAAACATAATAAAATAACTCAGATGAAAATTAAATCTCAAAAATATTCAGCATTCCTTGTCTTATTTTTTTTAATATAAATTACAGAAATCTATTATTTAATTTGGGCTAAGATAACCCCAAATATCAGCTCCGCTAACGTCCTTTGAAGGTTGGTATTTTAAGCTTGAAAAGTATGTTTGAAGATTTGACATTTTCTTGTGTGTGGAAACATTATGTTTGCTTAATTATAAAGATGGTCTTAATATTGCGCTTTAATATTTCGATTTAATATTGGAGTTTTATTTTCACAGATTTGTCCAATATCCTCCTCAAATTCAACTGAAATATTTTATAAATTTAATGAAACACAGAACGTAAAACCATACATATTTAGTCATACACGTTAGAAATGGATTGTAAACATATTTAATATAGTTATATATTGATATGCTAAATGGAAACTGCTGTATTTTACAACGAAAGAGAATCAACAAGAGATGTAGCAGCAGGTCATGTGTCTCTATTGTCAATAAATGTTTTCCATTAAGTATAGTTCCCTTACAATTCATGCTTATTTATTATAAAAAGAACATTAATGCGATGTTTGAGGTAAGACTACATTTAGATAAAAAAATATATAACAACAATAATTCAGTGTATGGTCTTTATTGTCATAATGCGTATTTTCTCAAGTTAGAACTGGCACATTGCTCGTACATGTGATTTACATGTTGTTGCTGATCCAGTTACGGTACTCGGAAACGCGTGTGTACACACTAGGATACCCTGAGCACGAACTGCTCCCCCAGGACGTCACACCGGCCAGAACGAACTGACCGTCAACTCGACATACCAAAGGACCACCGCTGTCACCCTGAAAGAAAAGTAAAAGAGTTATGACAACGGCGATCTAACTCAAATGATAGACCTATGCTACCTTAAACGCTGGTGAAGCAAATTTGTAACCGGAGTTTAAGATAACAGTTGATAATCATTGAGCTTTACAATTGATTACAATTTGTTCTCGATTTGTTTTTCATTTGTATTGGACATATTATTCGACAGCTTTACGCCGGTAATATTATAACGTAACTTATCAGTGAACTGTGCCTCGACAGCTTTACGCCGGTAATATTATAAACGTAACTTATCAGTGAACTGTGCCTCGACAGCTTTACGCCGGTAATATTATTACATTAGACGTATTGCTGCATCTGTATGTATTGAATGTTTTCAGTACATAATTGTGTAGTTTGCTGTCGTCGGTTTATGAAGTACATGTATTTGTGCTTTCGTTAACATTTCCCTGCTTATAGATAACAATGTAACATTTACAATTGCTTAACATCAATTATATTTGTAAACATTGTTCAAATTCTATATCAAGCACACTAGAAATGAATTACATATACGTTCATTGATAACAAATCATTCTCAGATGACCCGTTTTATGTAAAATTAAAACATAAATATATTTTTGCGTAATATTATCTTCATTGCTTTGTACATGATACCTCCAGTTAGAATCAAGATAACAAAATTTCTTTGTATTCCGGTCAATGATTTAACGAGTTGGAAGGTTGTTATTTACGACTATTTAAGGCCTTATACATTCTCGAAAATGCTTTAATACATTGTAAGTAGCTTATTGTAGTATATGCAATTCTATTTAATAACGGAGAAAACGTGGTAAGAAAAAGAAAAAAAATGTTTATTTAAAATTTCTCACTGCATTGTTTTCCCAAATGGAACTGTCCAAGCCAAGTTCAAATTGACTAATTAGATAAAAAAAAAACTTCACTTATTATCTATTTGTTTAAATAGAACCGTAATATTGATGACTCTAGAAGTTGAAGGTGTATCTAAAACTTTCAGTGTAAAATGAAGTTGATCTTCAAGATTATAAAGCAATGATGATAAGTATACATTTGCAATAAATATGTCAATATTATTTTAAAGTAAGATATTCTAAATATTCACTGTTTAACCGTGAAACGCAAATCGGGAACGTTAACAAACCTATACATTTAATGTTTTATGATCATAATGTCACAGAGTATCAAACTATTGATTTTCCGGGTCAGAGAGTAGAACTTGACAGGACTTACATTGCATGAACCCTTATTCTTTTCAAACAGACAAATGTGTGTGTTGAAGATGGAAGCTCCTGATACGCGGCGCCACAGTCGGCTACAGTCGCTGTTAGTGATGACGTCAATGTTGACTTCCATCAACTTGGGAGCGACAGAACTCGAAGCTGTTGATCAGAAAAATCATAAAAAATTATTCATTGTAATGTTTGTTCAGTCAGTGTTTAATATACAGTAGCTATATATATCAACGTAGAATTTTGTTTAGAGTTATCAGAACAACATCCTTATTTATATTGTTAACGTCATCTTTTTTTCAAAAATGCAGTTATGTCATACAATATTAAGTTAATGTAAGAAAAGCAATCTTGAATTTTGAAATTTCGCCTGAACATATGATAATCAACCAACGAATAGCAAAGTAATGTGAAAATTGAGGTACGAACATTGACCACACAATATCTTTTGGTTTGAGGCAAACGTTCGCGTGAGAGAAGGAGAGGATAATGCATAACCAAAAATTCGTATGGTATTCAAGTAAATAAATATGTAGTTATCTGACACCCGTTTTAGGAACATACAATGTACACTGTTTAGATATAAAGGGTACAATAATAATCTCGACATCCGGCCTCTTACTGACCTTTGATTTTTTCGTTAGGTATTTTCACATAACATTACCATTAATATGAGAATACACCTTATAATTAACAACAGGAAAAAATCGAAATATCAACAAAACCGTATTTAAAAATCGATAGAACCAGGGCTAAACATGACCAAAGGAAAGATTACATAAAACGCGTCAAAACGTAAACAGTTTATAAGACCATATAATCCGGAATGATCAGCGTGTTTTGCTTTATAGACGACACTGACCATGTCAATAGTCCACATACCGAGAACTCGGGAAGTGCCAACAAAATAACAAGACTCACTTAAGAGCATAATAACAAACCTAGGCCTTCTAATGACACAAAGAAGTAGCATTTATTTGTATACTTCTATGATCCCGTAAAATTATCACAAATTGGCAATCGTACTTATCACGACCGATCTGTATCGATTCAATAAAGAATTTTCCAAATCTACATTCCTAGTAAGTGCGGATGCCACATATCGGGAGAAAAATTACACTGAAAGGTCTGCAGAATTACATACGTGAAGGAAAATGTTATATAATGTAGTAATATTTATCGTGAATTAAACTTGCTTACCACGAAATAGGTATATTAAAAAGCAGTATCATAAATAATAATATAATGATATACAACATTTGATATAGCGCCCTATCTAGCTAGAATAATCCACTCTAAAGCGCTCTACAGTACATAGATGTACGATTTATAAAATCAATACAGTTAGCATATACAGTAATCAATACAATTATGAGGAATTCGCAGGAGCTGCCTTATTAGGCGCTAACTACTAGTCATATGCCACCTGGCTAGCATCTCCCTATGTGTGTATGCCTGCGTGTGTGCTGGAAATGTCTTGTGTTCTGTTTGTAGCGGGACCGTGTTTCCAACGGTATCATTTATAGTGTCACCTTGTTTGTATGATACAGCACAGATACCGCAACATGCATCACAGACACTTTTATACTCCATCTGGGGTATTGGAGTTGTTTGGGCAAAAGAAAAGCACTTAGTGAATGGGTGCGACGACTTCAAGGATCCAACCCCGGCCGCCTGCGTGGAAGGCCCGAGTGTAAACCACTCGACCAACCCGCCGATAAACGTATATATCACTTGTCTTTTTTACTAGAACGAAAAGCATCGTCGTTCCACTTGTCTTGCCCGAGCCCGTCAGTTTTTTATTTATTTATCAGTATTATGAACTTATCACTTGTCTTGCCAAAGCCCTCAGTTGTTTTTTCTATTTATCAGTATTATAAACTTATCACTTGTCGTTCCCGCGTCCGTCAGTTGTTTTGTTTATTTATCAGTATTTTAAACTTACCACTTATCTTGCCAAAGCCCGTCAATTGTTTTGTCTATTCATCAGTATTATACACCAACCACTTGTCTTGCCAAAGCCCGTCAATTGTTTTGCCTAATTATCAGTATTATAAACTTACCACTTGTCTTGCCCCAGCCCGTCAGCCAGCAGTCATTGTTTCCGACAAAATCGTCGCCCTTGGAGGTCATAGGAACAAGTTCGACGTTATCGTTCAGCTCGGCGTCGTTTGCTAGTCTGAGAATGGCTATGTCATTTGGATACCCTCCAGCGCTACCATCATAGCTACCGTGCTATGGGTACACAATATAAGTATATTTACCATTGCAGTCATAAATAACACCATTATACCTTCACTAAACATTTCCCCTTCACTAGTCACTTCATCAACACAAGCCAATAACACATCTGTAGCATTTATGTTATCATCATCATCACATCACCACAAGCCAATAAAACACATGTAGTATTTATGTTTTTATTATCGTCACATCTACACTAGTCAATACAAATTCGTTAGTCCATACATTGTAATAACGCTGTCTTTAAAAACTTTGGGTATATATTATGCCATAAATATCAACTTTACTCAATCATGCCATTTTATTAGCAGAATAATACGTTTTTATCAAAAAGAAAATTATCGACTAAAGGGCGACAACTTATTCCGCTAAAATTAATTGTATTTTAATACAAACACCAAATCATGGCTGTCTCTTTCTTATGAAAGCCTTTAAATGATGAGATATAGACAAATAATAACAAATCAATAGAGCTGACTCAAAACACTTGTATGTAAACGTTATAGAGCAATAGATATACCGATAATATTCATCGATGATTTATCAATATAGAACAGCAAATAACATTCTTCAACACTTATGGATGGTTTTGTATATGTCTTTCATTTCTAACATAGATCGTAATTAAACTTAAGAAAACAAACATACCATGATAATTTCAGAAACCTGAATTCTTTGTTCTTTCCCAGAATTCACCTCCAGCTCGTCCTTTCCCATAACAATAGAGAAATCACTGGATCTGGAAAAAATATGTTTGTTAAATTCAACTAGGTAAGTTCCTATGGACTTAACGATTGCTGTTATTGTTAGGAGTATTATTGTGTGATTGGAGAAGACACGTCCTAATGATAAAAACAGTGGATTACTTGCAAAAGGGGCAAATTGAGTAAAACAGTTTGAAAATATGACATAGTTGAGAAGTTGATTATTATATTGGTCTAAATGAAAAATTTCTTCCAGAGACGGTGCTAGAGACAAGGATATTGTTTATCGACTCCCATTTTGCAACATAATGCATGTCAAGAAACTGCGGTTGGTCACAAAAAAGGAATGAGGAAAATTCTCGAACAATAATGAGTCAGTATGTCAAGTAATCAACGCACGTTAGTTCTGAAAATTTTCGAAACTCATTTAATTCATTTTAGAAAATATTTCAACTATTGTTTGTTGGCGTTTCGCAATAATTATCTGGTTGTATGAATTTAGTTCATATGAAAAGGACAATAACGCAACTTCAATGTAAAATAGTCAACGGTTTTTAGAAATACAATGATATACAAGACAAACAATGATGTAGTAGTAAGTTGTTTAACTGATTAACATGGAAAAAGAAATAATATAATAATAAAGACCGAAGGGTCTCTTTGTTGGAATGGACGCAAAGCAGACGAACTTACACGCCAAAATCTACACAATGCGCAGCAGTTAGAACTACATCCGGTGCAATAAGGGAGCCTCCGCAGATATGGCTGTCCCTGTACTGCAGCGACGCCTGCCACGGCCAGGCATTGGCCTCTGTTTCCTGGCCCCCGATGATGCGAGATATTTGCTCATCAAGGGTAAATCTGGCTATCAACATGTACATTGAATTGTCAATTAGTTATGATATATTTTAGTTTTATATCGAACAATTACTGATTTATGCATGCATGTTAATTAGCAAATCAACAAGTACATATCATTCTTTATAGATATATATAATAAAACATTGTTATTTCATGGTTAGAATATTATATCTCAAAACTGAAAGGGCATTTCATATTTTCCCCATGACAATAAATTAAGATTATAGATGTATAATGTTCCGTAAGTAAACCTTTTTTTCACCTAAAACTTTGAAATATGAATACTTTACTGTGCATCATCTCTATATATTTATAAATATGCGATAAACGAATTTAAATGTAGAATTAAATATTAAATGTAAAACAATGACGTATTTCAAATATAATTGTATATGAAAATATAGTTTATGTATATCCATATGTGGTATATATTTGTCTATTATTTATTTTCAATGCTGTGTTTTTCTTTTCATTTGGAATGACGATAAGATTTAAGGCGAAAACATATAAGTACTATGAAAATAATCTTGTATATTATAAATCCTTGTAAAATTAATAATATTAAAATATACAAATAAATAACGCAGCTTATGAGTTAATAATACAATTAAGAAATGAGAATGAAGAGTATCAAAAACAAATCAAACAAACTAACTAAAAAAAAGAAATCAAATGAATCATATCAAAAATACCCCAAGCAGGGTCAAATAAGTATACATACCACACACGACTGTGGCCAGAGACAGAAGGCACACCAGTTGCTTAGTCATAGTCATACTGGTAATTACAACAGCAGTCACTGATCTACTGAAGTACAGTCGGTATGATGTCAGTATTTATAGACTGATAGAAGTACTGTCATGTCTCATAAACACCAAGTTACGTAAGTGAAACATCAGCATCGTGTTGAGTTATAACTCGAATGTAAATACACCCAAACGGACATTACCGTCAGATGCTCTTCTCTCAGATACTTGTGTATGGGATAGCCACTGGTGGTCAAAGGAGACAAGTCGTAAAGCCGTACCCAGTCTGCCATATGTCGTTAAATGACTAAATGAAACTGCAAGAATATTTATCATTAACCATATGAAAATTTCCACAGACATAATGTCCAATAGTGACTTATTCTTCTGATAAATATAATTCCTACATAATTACATTTGTATCTTCAAAATGTAGCATCATTACCCAGAAAGGGGAACATTTCTATATACAATATTTTCAAAGCTGACAACATTGTCCATTAAGATTTATTTTAGAAAGAACCTTCCTTTAGAAATACGTATTTTTCTTCTACGAAATGTACCACTTTTACCCCCGACGCGGCATGTAGGTGTGTATGCTAATTCTACGGAATTGGACATCTCGTCATAAAGTCTGATGCAAAATCTATGTATTTTAAAGTTTTAATTCTAGGGCTATTCATTTATACGTCATCAATAAGTCCGTGGCGAGTGAATCCGGGAGTAAATATTTCCATGTAAAGACCCTAGTATAATACGATTTCTGGTATAAGTTGATAGAAGTGTAGAATTCTGCTCAGATACTTAATCACAAAATATGGATCCCTATAGTGGTTCTATAAATAGAAAACAAGTACGGATATTGCCTATGCATGGTTTTATTCTGATCTGTAGTAATAAGATTTAGTGAATACGTTGACGAATGACTGCTACGGTATGTTTTATTCTGATGACAATTATTCCTGACAATCAAACAGATGACAAAAGTGGTATAGTATCTACGGACTTTTTATAGTACATGTAGTCATATATATTGACGGTTATTGTTTTATTCCGCTGTATTTGTGAAATATTCACTAAGTTTGTTACATATTGAATATCAAAAGCATCCGACTGCTAACTCATTACAAGATTGTATCTGATCCCTTATGAGACCCCGAAAGGGGCCAGCCCATTGTCTTTCGCAATTCTGAATAGACATTACCTAGTTATGATTCTTAATAAACTTAAAGTTTACGGACAGACAACAACAACAACAACAACAACAACAACATGTTGGTCTATATAGTTCACTTAGCCCTTTAGGCCAGACAAGCTAAGGATATTGATTTATGGTTCTTGACGTTCATGTTCGAGTCATAACTGTCAAATACAGAAAGTGAAACAGAACAAAAGGCCCAATGGGCCTGAATCGCTCACCTGGTATTAATCTTACACTTGTTATCTACAGCTACAAACAAAATACCAGTGTTTGATTCAAACGAATCAATGAACAGATTTAAACATGTTAAACATTTGAACTTGAAAGTCAAACAAGGACTTTAAGTTGAACAGACTGTATAGCCTTTCATATTAGCGTGCTTCTGGCTTAATATCACTACCCTGGACCTTTAGATTATTCACAAGTTGTTGAAATATTTCAACATATTTGACCTTTGTGACCTTGCAAATGGGTCATTCATTTGATTCATTTGATTCAACTTGGTAGTCCTTCATCCCAGCATGTTTCTGGCAAAATATCATCACTCTAGGCTTCTTGCTTATTCAAAAGAAGTTGTTTTCAAGGTTTTAAGCATATTTGACTCTTGTGACCTTGAACATACGTCAAGGTCATTCATTTAAACGAAGTTGGTAGCCCTTCATCTCAGCATGTTACTGACCAAATAGCAATACCCTTGGCCTCTTGGTTATGCAGAAGAAGTTGTTTCAAGGTTTTTCATATGTTTGACCCCTGTGACCTTGAAAATAGGTGAAGGTCATTTGTTTGAACAAACTTGGTAGCTCTTCATTTAAGCATGTTACTGGTCAAATATCGTTACCCTAGGCCTTTTGGTTACCGAGAAGAAGTTATTTAAAGGTTAAACATATTTTACCCATGTGACCTTGAAAATTGATGACGGTCATTTGTTTAAACAAACTTAGTAGCCCTTCATCCCAGCATGCTCCTGACCAAATAGCATCATCTAAAACCGTTTGGTTATTGGAAGAAGTTGTTTTAAAGGTTTTAAACATATTTGACCCCTGTGACCTTGAAAATAAATGAAGGTCATTTGTTTGAACAAACTTGGTAGCCCTTCATCCCAGCATGTTACTAGCCAAATACCATCACCCTAGGCCCATTTTCGCTATTGGGCCCCGCAACTCTGCCCCCAGGGGGTCCAAACACACGGTTTAAATGCAAAATTGGGTCCCCTTGACCAAACAATGATCCAGACCAAGTTGATGATGAAATCCCTTAATTCCTCTGGTAGAAGAAAGATTTTAAAGGTTTTTCCCCTATTCAACCCCAGCTCTCTGCCACCAGGAGAGCCAAATCCACCGTTTATACAAAATTGAGTCCCCTTGACCCAAAGATGCTCCAGACCAATTTGGTATTATATCCCTTTATCCCTACGGTAGAAGAAGGATTTTAAAGGTTTTCCCCTATTCGGCCCCACGCCTCTGCACAAGGCAAAGTGTTGTCAGCAGTCAATCGTCTCCCACCTCTGTATCTGTATATAGTATGGCACAAAACCCGACTACAGTGACTGACACTCTGTCATGCCAAGATGTGCTGGCATACCAAATCATAATGTTTGATTTTGTTTGTTTGTTTGTTTGTTTATGTTTAACGGCCCATCGACGGCTGTGGTCATTTAGGGCCATGGTGATTTATTTATTTATTTTTTATTTTTTTAACAAACATGTGAGTAGCGAAGATAAAATCAGATAAAATGGTTCATTTTAAAAGCATTCGCATTGTATGTGTAGATAATAAAAATAAAAAGGGGGTTAAAATAATAATAGAGATAACGAATAGATGATATGGAATATGCGATATATATATAACGTCAAAAATAGTAAGGTGGGTTAAAAGACATCAGAGTCTATAAAATAGACCGATGTCTTTCAAATAGTTAAATAATGCCTTCGAATCCACGGAACTGAAAAGTGTTTTCATATCCGGGACTCGAAAGTAGTTATCACGAATGTGTTTAAAATCGGAACATTCTATTAAAATATGTTCCACTGTAAATGTAGTAAATGTGTGCCCAGTGCGGAGCCGAGCGAGGACAACTTCCTCTCTACGATCTTTCCGACTGGAAATAGATGTTTTAAGTTTCGGTTGTATCTTAAAAAGTTTGTTGGTGCTCTCGAGAGACCAGCGTTGCTGCCATTCATTTTGAATGGCTACACGAATAGTAGGTTTAAAATCTGTGTATGGTAGTTTGATATTTGTTTGTTCGAGATTCAATGCATTTTTTGCTTCCCTGTCAGCAAATTCGTTGCCTTTAATTCCGACATGGCTCGGAAGCCATAGTAAAGTTATTTTTAGACTTTTTTAATATACGAGATATTCGAAGAGCAAGGTTTTGTACGAGTGTGTTTTTAGGATCTCGTAACTGTAAACTCTGTAGAAGAATAGAGAGTCTGAACAAAGAATTGCCTTTTTAATGCGGTGTTCATCGATATGGTCGAGGGCCAAACCAATGGCGCATGCTTCAGCAGAAAAGATGGAGGCGCCGTCTGGTAGTCGGACTGAAGTGCAAGTATTAGCAGTACAGCAGGCTGCTGCCACTTTCTCACCTTCTTTGGAGCCATCGGTGTAAAGTTGTGTATGAGAAGGGTAATTCGAAATGCATTCCTGAAAGGAAGATTTGTGTTTTTTGGGCATAACACTTGATTTCCCTCGCTCATGTAATGTAAAGTTAAAATCAGGGGTTTGAATGGTCGTCAATTTTATGTTGAGTTCTTGCAGGAAATTCAAAATTCGGATACCAAATGTTGGCAGAAGTTTTTGGTTTTGCGTAAATATGTTTTGGTATTTGGGGTTGAATACTTGGTTGAAAGCAGGATTTTTAGGGTTTGATTTTAATTGAGCTGCAAATTGTAATGAAAGTTTTTTTCTTCTGTCATAAAGGGATGGTTCATTTGCTTCCACGTACAGGCTTTTTACAGGTGTTGTTCGAAAAGCTCCNCGCAAAAGCATTTCACGGCCCGCTCCCCAATCAGTATGAGAAAGGACTCGTATAATGTTCAACGCCTTGGAACACTTATCCTTCATAATGTTTGACAGCTATGTCCCAAAGAAAGTGCTTTACAATAAACAAGTGGCCATAACTCGGTCTCTTTTAGCGAACTGGACCAGTGCCAGTGCATCAGAACTAGTTATCCCAAAAAGTACACGCAAACAATTTGCAAAGGTAGATTTGGATTTAAACATATGTATAGCCATGGGATCGGGCACAAATTGTACAACGTATATGATGTCCTTCCGCATACAATGATAGATGACAGAGTATTTGAAGTGTGTCCATGACAATGTGTCATACAGCTAGACTGGCGACATAGTGCAAACCTGCAGCCCTTCCTGTTTGTAACGGTGCGGGGCTTATAAGCAGCAGAATCGGCCATCAATACAACATGACAATTTAAATCAGAACAACAATTTGTATTTATATAAAATGTAATTTATATTCAACTTACAGTGTACAAGCGTGAGAGTTAGACATGAGTCAGCAGTGCTCAGCACCAATAAATATTCATACAAATTTTGCACTCTACAACATAATTCTGACCACTGATTTCAATAATCGACATAATTGAGTACACAATGTAAATATTACAATACAACATGATAACAAAAATATAAGTACATCATTTTTATAAAAACGTATTCTTCAACGAACTGTTTACAAGCGTGGTAGGTATGACGCAGCACCAATTAATACATATACATTCTGTTTTATTGCTACATTTGTAGGTCCGAGTCACTACAGGTGGACTACATAAGTCTGGTAGGGAAAATAAACACAGTAGTTAACTTATTGACATGATTTTCAGAAATACCATTCCATAATGCTAACTTGCTGAAATATATATTATGATAAGCACAGATTTTTCTTCCACTTCTTTAAGATATTAGGCCGATTATCACAATTAACATTCATATGAAAAATGAGAACCTGGACGTGTTTATACATTTGTTATCATTTCAGTGATGAAAAATGAAAAACAAAAATGGGTATTTCTTATCTCTTGTTCATAGCACAAGACTATATACAAAATGATCCTAAATGTTTCTACCACTGTACTGTGACCCTAACCTCAGTAGGACTGTGACCCTGACCTCAGTAGGACCGAGACTTGCCAGATGAAATTACAATTACCTGGGGTTCCTTGTTTTTCGAAGATGCCTGGTAGGCGGTACCTCCCCTTGTATGTAATCTTTATATGGAGGATTTCGGACAACGACCCAGGTGGTATCGGTATGTACCAACACCAACGCTAAGCTGAACAAAGACCATGCATTCAAGTTCTTTGGACACATCAATTCCTTAGATCTCAATACCTAACCACCCACCCTTACCACCCAGAAAACCACCCTTACCACCCAAAACCCATCCTTACCACCCAGAAACCCACCCTTACCACAGAAACCCATCCTTACTACCCAAACCCCCCCCCCCCCCCCCCCCCCCCCCCCCCCCCCCCCCCCCCCCCCCCCCCCCCCCCCCCCCCCCCCCCCCCCCCCCCCCNTCCAGAAACCCACCCTTACCACCCAGAAACCAGATGGAAACTTAAGTCGAAGTGACCATTTACGGAAAATCAACGCACACAGACCAATACCTTAACTCCCAATCCAAAAACTCGCTGGAAAACATACTCTTCGTGAAACGGGCACTTATTTTACAAAGCTGAGACGATTAGAACAAAACATGAACAAGTGAAAGAAGAAAAACACCTTTAGAGACAAGCCCTTATACTGCAGATACAATCAACAATCTCTCAACAGGTTCATACACGAGACCAGCGGCAGAATATTTAACACCATCTTGTCACCAAAAACAATCATGATGAACCTAAGGGTTCTGTATTCATTCCCTATAATTGGAAGCTTCACCGAGACCATTCGTATATATTCTGAGACATATTTAAGATGCACAAGATTCGTGTGCATTTCAGGCCAACTACAATGCAACAAATTAGGACAGAACCTTGTGATAATTAATTATAAATATACCACCCCAAAAGAACTGGTTCGGTATAGTCTATCTTTGAAATCTGTGAGCCTTTATTAATGAATAATCAGTATAATTTTTGGGGAATTGACCCCCAGAAAATGTTACCTTGTTTATGATATGTAATTATGTGTTGAACATTCAATGATGTTGTTGAAAAAAGTCCTTTAAGGAACCCATTACTACTTCCAAAAACTGTTACTGTACTTCGGATTATTTTGTGTTTTCGAAAAAAGAAAAACAACGGGACCGGACCAGGATATGAACATTATACTATCTTCTAATTAAGCTACCTGTTAACGGTCACAGGGACCTGATAATTTGTCCAAATATAGCTGTAACAAATTATTATGTCCCTGTGTTAACGGTAGCACGCTGGAACCGTTCCAATACGGGTATATCCAAGATATAACAAAGGGGTTGTTACTATTTTACAATAAAACTACGGTGGAATTAATTAGTAATTTGTCTGCAGTAAATAAACTTATATAAAACCATTTGGATGCTGGCGACACATTTTCCCCAAATTGAAGCTGAAGTCCATATATATGTACATCACGTTTGTAAAACGTACAGATTGGAATGTTTGATGTATTGACTACTACTCAACTGTATTACATGCGATCATATATCAAAGGAATGCTGTTTCATCTAATGCTGAAGGGTTATAAACAATGTTTGAACACATACAGACCAACATGCTAACTTACTAAGGGACTGACAGTTAAAACTGTAATTTGTAAAATACATATGCATAAAATAAAAAGTGATAAATATATCTAGTAATACCTTGCAGTGGTGGCTATATCGGAATGCTGTAAAATGTTGTAAATGTATTGTACGGTGATATCGCAAGACAATAGTCGTGTAGTGAAGATGTAGGAAACACATTTTGTTCTGAAGAAATACAATACATGTACTAAACGGGGGCCATCTTATCAAGCCATGTTGCTGAAAAAGATATTTTCGAACCACAACAAAATAAGTAATATCAGCACTCAATGCAGGTGCTGTAAAACAAACAAATATGTCACTGTACATGTACGCATCAATATAAAGATTTCAGTTAATTTCTTCAAAAAAATGAATTGGTTTACTACGAAAGGAACATATTTTCGTTACCTTGATCAATTCAAAACAATTATGTGAAATTGAAATAAAAAAAAAAATGGGAACTTATTAAAACGTTCACTTCAATTTTTTGCTTTTGTTTGTTTTTGTTTTAATATCATATCTTATAGGTGATTTTTCTTTTGTTTGTGTTGTTGATTTATGAGAATTATGAATACCATACCAATATCAATAAGGTCAATAAAGGCAGGTATGAATTGTCTAAAGAAGGTAAAAGAGTGAACGTGTTGATTAAAATACACATAAAATGTTGATAGTGTAATGTACTGTTACCGAAATTCAAATTCTGAAAAACAAAGTGAAAAAAAAGTGAAATGTACTATCTCACCTATACCAAAGTGCATTACATCATTCATATGAACATGAAATGAGAGACCATGATTATACAATTCTCATAAAAAAATTGTGAAGTTTTCTTTGGGTGAAAAATGGGCTTCTTTACATTTTAAATCACAAAGCAAGAATGAATTTCTTTTTCTAGCTTGCTATCATTTTTTCAGCATAATATGTTCATAAATGCTTACAACCTGAATAAGTGAAAATAGATACAAACGGGTTCTTGGTTTTTTTCTCAATTTCATGATACATTTTCTATATTAAGAGACTTCAAAAGTGAATTATTTCATTTTGATGGAATATTTGAGTATTTAGGCAAAGAAAATAGGTAAAATACATACTACAGAAGAACAAGAACCAAAACAATACCAGCATGAAAACACATGAACAAATTAAAACACACCAACATATAAGAAAGAAACTAATACAAAATAACAAAATATATCAATTTGTCAACAGAAGGATAAAGATACCACAAAATCAACCCAAAAGGGAAAAATATACTCTCAAGTCTAACAGGGTTCCTATATACCACAGTGTCAAACCACAAAAACAAATTGTTGTCACAAGTATATAACAAATTAGTTTAGCTGTGTAGGAAGGGGTGGAGAATGCTTTATCACATAAGTTCTCTCTTGACAAGCTTGACAAAAAGTTATAAATATAGTCTTATATCAATACATTGTAATAACGACTATTTACTGATAAATAAAATATATCAGCTTTTATAATATATTTATACCTGTATATATATATATCTACTTGTGATTTGTAACATTATTTTTCAAAACAAGTCCAATGTGTCAGCGTTAGATTAAGAATAAACACTTCACACAACTTATCTCGATGTACAATTTATCATTGCGACATTACCATTATAAATATTCGTTTATGGTATACATTAGTAACAATAAAATACACAAGCCAGAGAGTTCACAAATTCAACATCAGATATATATGTGTTCTTGAATTAAATTAAAATATCACATCAAGCAAAACAAGAGGCCAAATTGGCCTGCATCACTCACCTTGCTATCATGACACAACAGTCTCAGTCATATTGCCATTGTTTCTTTTCAGTACAAAGGGGAACAACACCCATTCTTTATATACCAGTTGATTTCCCCCTCAGAAGAACAATTATGCTCTAAATTTAGGTCCCTATTCTCTGGCACCAGCAGAACTACTCCTTCTGTTTATGCAATACATGTATGTTGAGTTCCTTTGGCTCATGGATGTTACAGAGCAAGTTTGGTTAAAATTCCTACATGAGTACCGATAAGTTTTGAGAGATTTACCAATATTTCCCATAGTCAGCCCTCCCGCCTACCCCAAAAGAGAAGGGGGCGGGGGTGGGGAGCAAACTCTACATTCATATAACCTTATGTTATCCTTACTGAAAAAACTCAAGACCAAACTAAGTCAAAATTCCCCCATGCTCTTCTGGACTAACAGCGTTTAAAAGGAAAAGTTAATAAATGGATAACAGAATGGCCCCCACATCATGACTTTAGCTCACATGGCCTTTCAGGCACTTCTTCAACACTTTAAGGCTTAACCCTTTCACCCCAACGTAACTGTAGTAGACTCTACCTTACATAGATCTGAATGAGACCATTATGGTCTACAATGGTGAAATGGTTAAGACTGCACATGTCACTAATAGTAAGGTGCAATATGTTGGAGATATTAAAGCGATTTCTATTAACACAATCACTTAAAGGCGAAATATTGCTTGTTAAATGATCAATGTAAAATCAGCATAAGCATTAATAAAAGATATTACTTCTTATGGATGACGTTCTCCGTGTGTATCTTAAATCCCTCAATTTTCATAAAACATTTAAAAACTGAATGAGGAGTTCTATACAAATATTTATCACTTCTTACAAAGCTTAGACTCAAGGTTTTACGTTAATGCTGAAAGTGATAAAACTGTTTTGATAATGCTGTCCGATGTCTCCTATCCATTGAAGTTTGGTCAACTTATTTTAATGATATTGATTGTTTTCCTTTCAATCAAAGATTGATAAAATTATTTTGGTAATGGTTTGTTTTATTCTAGACAGATAAAGGGTTCTTTCTGATAGGTCTGAAGTATTCCTTTTTATCAAGGTTCAGACTCGAATCTGATGTACAGTTATCACAGTATATTAAAGATGTTTTGATAAACTGATCATTTGTTTTACTTGTCATGGTTCAGAATAATACCGATACTAACAAACCAATGGAATGTATATAATATCAGGATACAGTGATAAATCTACATACACGTTCGGAGTCCTATACTCCTAGAACTTGGACGGGACTTGTAAAATTTCTGGAAATACTTAAATTTAACATTGTGGGACCCATTGTTTTTATCAAAACAGTTGGAAAGGATCAATGAAAACAGATTAAAGATTGATCACTGAGGATAGTATATGTGTTTAGAAAGATTTCATATAGATGCATATAACATTACCACATATTTTGCAAGATACTAGCTAGCATTCCAACTAGTCATTTTCCCCACTCAGTCGTCCATTGGATTAATAATACTGAACAAATGTATAATACTAAATAGAAATGTAAAAACATATATATAATAATGTTGTAGTTGTACCTAAGACCTTCTTACTGAAGGATCCCCGCGTCACTGCCAAAAACTGTAACCACATATGGAAAAGTATTATTTCAGGCAAGAATATTGCTTTGATAAATCATTTCTGGAATAAAAACCATACCTTGTGGGACTATTATGAAAACAAGTAAAGATGATATTAACAAAATAAAATTAATAATAGTGTTCTGAGTGTAAAACATCAGCGGGGCTAGACCGGGATTCGAAACCCTGGACTTCAGATTGCTATGTTAACACTATAACCGAACTAAGCTACCAGGTCAACAGAGGAGGCCTCGCCCAACTGTCTAACAACAGTTATATCCGAAACTACATTAAGGGGATATATCCGAAACTACATTAAGGGGAGGTCACCATACATTTGAAAAACCACTGTGCAGTGTGACAGGGATCCTTAACATCATTTAAAAACTCAACATTCATTATGTATTTTATACAAATATATGCCCCTCGGATTTCAGCGATATTTTAAAATAACCTTCATCACTACAAAAAGCTCAAAGTTGAATTACTTTGTTTACCTGCATCATGTTACACTGTAGACTGTCAGACACAAACCAATGACCCCATTTCTTGGCTCTGGTGATTTTATCTTTGTTCCCTAGTACCCAATTATTATTGATAATGAAAGGTCTCATTTCTTTTCTGTCTTTCCCTGTAAAATCTATATACCATTTCCCATCCACAATTTTCTTGTTTGAAAATTCATATACTTTTATATTCTTTCTTTCCTGTTCCATAATGCTGGAGAAAAATACCTGATCGTTTGTTTCATCTGCCACTTTTTCATTGTCTTTAAGACTTGTCAGACTGTTATGAAGACTGAGCATTCTCTCCGACAACTCGCCCCACACTTTCAGGGCTGCTTCTGTAGGCATCAAACACATGAACCCACCAAGGTATCCATGCTTGTGTGTGGGCTTGACAGCCAAAATGTCATGACCTTTGACTGCTTGAATGACCTCTGGAATAGGATTACTTATCCATAGACAATCTGTCTCAAAGAGAAGTAATGGGATTTTGTTCCTGAGGAGTAAGTTGATGACCTGTGTCCGCAAGTGCATCATTTTCACATACCCTGCCTTACTGTACTCCTGGTCACCTTTGAAGTCTTTGGCAGGCAGGTGGACGGTATGAACTTCTGGCCAATCCCGTTTGAGAAGGTTGGTGGAATTTTTGTCCATAGTCAGTAAAAGGACGCTACCATGTATGGCCATAGGAAGGGTGTTGCATAACCAGCTGTATGTAAAAGGAATGTACGCATCATTCAGCATCCCAAACAGCACTATATCTGACTTTTTCATGATGCTACGTCCACTTCTTACAATCTCCTGAGAAAATAATTCTTTTTCCAATTTTTCATAGTATACTTCATATGAACTTCTGGCTGGGGTTTTGTTTTGTATACCTGTGAACATCCCTCCATGCTGAGCTGGCTGAACTGATCTTCTTCTGAAGAATATGTACAGTACTATAGCGCAGACTATCAGAAATGGAACGACCAATTTCCTGAATTTAAAGCTGAACTTGTTCATTTTTATAAACCTGCGAAAGAACAACAAAACAGAGGTAATTTTTGGCTTTTAAATCGTTTTTTTTTTTCGAGATACAGTGAATTACTGCCACTATTTTTCCAGTCAACGTTTTGGCCTTATGATGGTAATTGGCCAAATATTTTAAAAATAAAGGAATTGTTAAGAAAAATTGGACACTGACTACTAGTAAAGTTAATTAGTAAGGTGGTAAAGGAGATCTTATCAAAACTTTACTCTAATTTTCAAAATATAATAACTATGTATATTTTTAATGTGGGTATGGTAATAAATGTAATAAACTAGAACTTATGGAAAAACAAATTTCTCAAAATATTTTTCAGCAATTCGGTATTTTTTAGTTTTCATTATGGTGTCCAAACCTTATATGACTATTGGATTTGCATCTTTTTTTTCCAACCAGATAACTCCTTCCAGCATCATTTATCTGTAAATAGAAATTGGTTTCATTTTAATAGATATATGGCTACCAGTATGTATTTGTTTTTTAACATTCTTTTGTGATACAAATGAAATCCATCTTTCTGAAAGGTGCTCAGTGTTACCATTTATACCTCTCTCAGAGAATTAAGAGTCATTATCCTTGAAAAACAAAAACATTAAATCTAGATGAATTAACTGATGAGGCATCCGGTCACTGACAACCCAATTCATTTTCACCATTCATATTTGCCTCTTCTTTATTCAAGAGCTTTAATTTTGCCCTTTTTTTAATCTAATGTATGAAGATCACATAATTTACATTGACCCATAAATTTTCTCCTCCATGCTTAAGTTCAGTTTAAAATATACCTACTGTTTGGTTTGAACCTGACCAATGATAAAGGAAGTCATAAAGACCTTCTTAACATAAAATAATACAAAAGGGCACATTTAAATTCACTGTCGGATATATATATATATATGCATGTTCAAAATCACAAGTGGAAACAAATGTAAGTTTTAAATGTTGTGCTCTTTATGAACATTTTGATAAAACATCAGCCACATGCTGACACCTGTGATGTGATATTGGCTGGAAGCGCAGACATTTTTTTGCTAAACCAACCAACACTGTATATTTCGGCACGAGGCTGACGTCAACCTATTAAAATATAAAAAGTGGCACCATGACTGCAAAAAACTTTGAAACTATGAAATGGCTAACCAGAATTTCCTCTGGCCCTGACACCACACAAGACATCTATCTGTCAAAATGTCCTAAGTCTGGTGTCAGGGCCAGAGGAAACTCGGGCTATGAAATAGCGTGTGTTTTTGGAGGAAACAGAGATCATGTCCGAGGAAGGAGAATACATTGTAAGTAAATTATTGGAGGTTTTTAAAAGAAAAAAAATCCCATCTTTCAAACGATACTGAGCATTTTCCATAGATCAACTAGAAATGGTGTTTTTGAAGCAAGAAAATTAGGTTGGGTTGACTTTTCGACATCAAGATCTTTCCGCCCTTCTCGTATGTATGATAATTGGGGGGGTCATTTTTACCGAAAGTCGATCTTAACCCCTAACACATGTGTAAGTCATGCTATATAACTTTGGTTTATTCTATTGTACTTAAATTGTGTGACCTGTTGTTTACGTAACTCTGGCCATTGTAAGTGTACATGTGTTCTGTGGTATGTGACCAAACCAGTCAGACGTGACATTGACATGAGCACATCTGAGCACATAACACCTGCTTTGATGATGATGCCTGAATTCTTATGATACTTATCTAAGTCACTTTCTTTAGGCTTTCTTTATTTGCTCTTCACTTTCTACTTCTTGTTCACTCTATCATTAGATGACTGTGCGAGCGACACAGAAGCCTGGTAAGTTGACAATGGTTTGAGCAAAGCGTGATCGACTGCGTGAGTAATATCTGTTTCAGAAAATTGTAGTAAGAATTTGCATCTTGTCTTTGTAGTTTTTTTTTATCCCGATATAAATATTCAGAGAACAGAATTAGACTACTGTTGTGTTTGAAACCCCCGGTGACACATGTAAAATTACTCTGAACACCTTAGTTTAGGTCCAAATATAAATCTCTTCATATTCTATATCATTCAATTACCAGCATTATTTTATTGATTATAGCCTATGGCACATGTAACATTTTATATCTATTTTTTTTATAAAAGAAGTGTCTTAGAGTCTTATCAAATTATCAATATACTATATAATTATGTAACTATTTTATGAATGGAATTGATTTATTTAGATCTAAGGGACCCCATTGGAATTAAGCCACAATGTGACTTTATATCTCAGGTAAAGGCCTGAATTAATCTAATCCAATCCAGTTTTAACACCTGACTGATTACTAGTTTTATGGCATAAATAACTTAAACATAACATCTGTGATAATATATTTATTTATGTCCAAACTGCAAAATGTGATATACGTGTATTCAATGCCTTTTACCTGAATAAATATTATTATTATTATAATTCAAGCAATCAGGGAAACGCGACAGTATCCGTGCTTTTCGAATAGGGCCAGAGGAATCTCAGGCACATGTCTAACGGACTACTGGTATCATAGGCGGTGAACAAAACCCTTGATTTTCTCACCTATTCTGTTTCCATTTTGTGAAGACTGCGTACTCTATCAGCAGTACTTAACTATTCCGACAGTGTAATAATATCCTTGGATGTGTCACCGTATATTTACGTGACAAAACACTTGCGAGCTAAATATCAAACATAACGAACACCCTGAAGCGTTAGCTGATCGGAACACCCTGGAGTTTAGTGTGATGTTTGATAGATAATATCCAAAAGGTTTCGAAAAGAGTATTACAAAAGCAAATTTAAAGCCTGAACCGGATTTAAGAATCCGGAAAAACGTCTAAATGTCTTGATAAAAAGTGATTTATATGGTTTTGAACTAAGAATTAAAATGAAACGCAGTAATTTACACCTGTTTTTCATTAACCAATTTAAAATGATATACCTATCGGTTTCCGTGCATTTAAGAAGCATCCGCGATTTCGTACTCATATCGGTAGAAAACTGTTGAAATTACAGATGACTGTAATAGACATGTACACATACAATCTACTAATGGAAACAAAAAACAAGCAACATAAAACTCTGTTTAAAAAAAATCATATTCAACAATTTTTAACAAATTTCTCCCGTCGGAAGAAGCCGACATATGTTTCCGTGTGCCTATTTTGATTTAGTGTTCAAAGAAAGATAACTCATATACACTAAAAATAAATTCTCCATAGTTGCCCGCACGAACAAAAGCTTCGTTTGGTATAAAAAAACAACATATCGTCAAATTAATAAACAAAACAGGTGTTTTTTTTAATTCAGATCATTTATTGATTTTTCAATATGTCAACTTGAACGAATTCATGTAATTTTATAAATTTTATTAATTTTATTTATTTTATTTATTTAAATATAATAGAATCTGTTTTTTTTTGTTGATGGTAAGTTATTTCTCATTTTTTTCTGTTTAAAATGGGTGAAAATTGGAAGTTCATTGCATTACACGGTTTACGTTTTATTGCAAACAGTGTTTATCGATGTAAGAAAGTCTCCTTCCCTCTTCGGAAGTGGAAAAAAATTGGCGAGGAGATGTGGCCTCATTTACATACGACATTTTTGTTCGTTTGTCAGACTACAAAACAGATCGGTTCATGAATGAAATATATATCACTGATTTTTCAGGTATGAGTTCATTTTGAGCAAGATAAAAAGTGCATTAAGTGCGAGAATACTTAAGTTAGAATGGAGAAGACTTAAAAGGCCATAGAATAAAATACACGTATATTGTAGTTTAATTATCTTCCTCCAGGAAGCATCACAGACCCTGTACTTATAACTTTGTATATATAGCTATGTGGCAATAATTTTCGCTTTCTTTCTGTCTTTCGTTTCTTTTTTCGATATTATTTCACTTTTTGTACAATGTAAACTTGAGGTTTAGGGAAAGATATATGTCAGAAAAATGAGAGAGAGAGAGAGAGAGAGAGAGAGAGAGAGAGAGAGAGAGAGAGAGAGAG